TACCTCACATAATACAGTTATATATTTATAGTAACAATTAACCACATTGTAAATTGTCATACTTTAATATATGTATTATAGTTTATGTGTATTTATAATATGTTTAATATTATTATTACTATATTTTTATTYAGATAGAAAAACCATACCCTCATATTAAGGAATATATAAGGATAGGCGGCACGCCTATCGACTTCGCCAATAACAAAATTCTGAAGTGTACAGTTTTTGGGTTTGGTATTATTAATGCTGAAAATACTTTAGGTAATGAAGGATTTATGAATGAAATTATGGTTAAACATGGTAGAAAAGCTTGTGAAGGATATGACAGGTAATGATCATCATGTGTAATCTATACAAGATTTATAGCATTTATTACCTGTTCAAATAGTGTTCAAATAATAGATACATGGCAACAATACTTGTGTGTAGTACCAAACAAGCGAAAAACATATGAAGGAGACAGCGGGGGTCCAATGATTTGCAACGGCTGGCAATATGGATTATGTAGTTTTTCAATAAATCTCAAAGGAGAAGACATGCAGACTATCCACGTGTTCATAGACTATTATAGAAAATGGATCAATGATATTATAGAACTGGTACAAAGCACAAGCTCATCCATAATGTCAAAGCAAAAAAGAATGAAAAAGTATAAAGCAAACCAAAAAAGTACTGCGAAATCGATAATACCGAATCATATTATAACATTGTGTATGATTTTAGGAATATTATGGTATAATGGGTATTATGTAYTGTATTTCATTTTTTTTTTTGTTTTTAAATTCCCTTTGATTTTATTATTTAAACGGCCTGCGATCCAAAGGTCTTCATAAATATGTTTAATAATTATACATATTACATACCTATACTAAACATATTGATGAAGTCGCACTTCCAATGAAGTGGTTTGCGTTTCCTTAATCTAAATTCTTAAGCTTAGTCGTATGGTAATTCGTCTACTGACTTTGGAGTTGTCTAATAATTAGACGGATGAATAGCCAATGTATT